AACCTATCTTATATTCATTACTAGCAAATTACTTGTTGCTTCCTGCCTCTACCAGAAAGCAAATGGTGAGAGCAGGGACTTTGTCTTTTGAATTCACTGGTTTACCTCCTAACTTATAAGCAGATACCCAATGGTTAGTTGTGGCAGGAGGGAATGACTCTGGATTTGCATATCAGGAGTCAGTATGCCTGTCTGTTCCCCAAATCCTGAGGCCCCTGAAGAACTACGGGCAAACTCCAAACATATTTGCATGTTAGAAATCCTCCCACTAGCAACTGGTGTGGAGCGGGGAGTGGGATATGAATCAGGAGGTAGGGAGACCCCCCCCCCGGAAATAGTGAAAAGACAGTGGAGGTCAGAATCTGGCTGTTTTATTTCCAAATCTGTGCTGTTTAAGTGGTTCGACTTAGTGAGCTCATCCAGCCAGCAGTGGGGAGATCAAAGAGTCATCTCAAAGGAGGTGATGTCTGAACTGGTCTTCAGGCAGTGAAGCCAAGGGAGGAGTGTTCCTGGCAGAAGGCACAGCTTGTGCAAAGGCCTGGTGACACAGAGCCTTCAGTTCAGGAAGCTTGAAGTGATGGGCTGCAGTCAGGGTGGAGAGTGGGTGCTGAAGGAGTGGGGGGGGAGTGAGAGAGGGAGAGGAGGGGGAGCTAATCCCTCTGACTCCTGCCTTTATGGACCAGGTTCTATGAGAACTGGGGAAATTGTTCCCGCTTCTGTGATGGGAACAGAGGAGGATAAACAGTACAGGGATGATGCTGAGTTGGATGGGTCCCTGATGGAGTTGAGCTACCCAGGAACAGAGGGGAGGAACTCTCTGGAAAGAGGGTGGAGGCTCAGAGCTAGCCACCAGTGTGGTGGCATGGGCCTTTCATCCCAGCACTCAGGAAGAGGAGTCCCACAGATGTCAGTTTCCACAGGTGGGCCAAGGGATGCCTTGAGGACAGCTGCAAAGGGGGAGGCACGAGCCCACCTGGCTGTTCGGGGATCCCCAGAGGTAGTGGGAGGACCATCCTCACAGCAGGCATCCTTGAGCATGACTTGGCACCACACTCCTGGGTCTCCCTTAAGGGAACTGAGTCATCCCAGCAGGGGCGGGAGCTGCAGAGGCCACCACTGCCAGAACCATCAGACCCTTGTCAGAAGCATAAACAGGCTACAGTGAAGCATCCCTGAGATGTCAGGACCACTTTGGTGTGTAACACACATGGCTACTACCTCCTTGCACCCCGACCCCAGTCCTTTGCTGATCAGGGCTGCTCATCTGCTTGGATGGTAATTGGTCCCTGGTTCAGCCTGGCTCTGGAACATTCTAACAGAACTCAAAATGAGATCTGAAGTCACTGGTCTATGAAGTTACCGTAGATAGGGCTGCTTGAACCAGTGTTGGTGACAGCAGGGTCTACTTGTTCTTTCCTCTTCTGGCCTTTGGTGAAGGGCCTAGCTGGATGGGGCATGTCCTTAGAAGGAGGTCAGACGAAGTGGGCTTCTGAAGCCAACAAGGGCTTGTGTCCATGGGAGTGGCAGACATGTGGAGGGTGGGGTGCAGCTTCCAGGAGAAGCCTGAGCTGGGCCAGTCTGGAGCCAGGCACCTAAAGTGGGTTGTGTTTGGTAAAGTGGGGCTCACTCTGAGTGGCTTCTAGATACACACACATTCCAGCCACATATCACTCAGGCACAAACCGCTTCTGTGTCCACAGCTCCATCCACTTCCTTCTAGGGCTCCCAGAGAAGACAGTGCAGTAACCATATGTCTTATTCACCTGTGAGGAAACTGATGCTTCTGGAAGCTTAGTGTCCTAGCCCAGTGTGGTGGCATGGGCCTTTCATCCCAGCACTCAGGAGGCAGAGGCAGGCAGATCTCTGAATTCAAGGCCACTCTGGCCTACAGAGCGAGTTCTAGGACAGTCAGGGCTACACAGAGAAAGCCTGCCTCAAAATAAACAAAATAAAAATACAAACAAAAAGCTTAGTGTCCTAACCCAGGCAGCATAGCTCCCATCTGGGAGAAGAGGATTTGAACTTTGCCTAATGAGGGAGGACCTGTGGCAGGGACTGTTCTCTAGGCCAGTGGAGGAACACCCACACCCACACCCATCAACAAGAGTCTTTGCTGTGCCCTGGAACTGGGCCTTGGTCTCAGCCTGTGTGTCCATCTTTCTGGTTGTCTGCTTGACCACTTTACCTGCTGAGTCAGCTTCTACAAAACATCCTCAAGGCTTTAGTTTGGGTGGGGCCTTGAGAAGACCCATTGGGTGAGCTGCCAAGGAGGGAAGACCCTCAGGCCAGCCTTACAAACCGTCACCACTTCCAGGCTGATGGGACAGGTGATCCTGTGGGGATATGCAGACTTGACCTCTGGAGTCCAGCTCCTCTGGCCCTGGCTGCATGTGTATGTTCAGGTCTAAAGGGACAGAAGATCAGCTGGTAAAAGGAGAGGCCAGGGGAGGGGAGAGGGGAGGGAGAACACTGCTTGTCCTAATAGATGTGCTCCTACGTGCAGATCCACAGCACAAGTATGAACAGCCCCCAGCCTCTTCTAGTATATTCTCTCTGGGTCAGACACAGGCCCTCATGCACACAGCACAGCCACAGGCCAGGCGCAAGGCCCTGTCTCCTGGACACTTGGCAGGAACTTTGGGCCTCCCTTGCTGCTTCCCTCCAGCCAAGCCCTGCTTAGTCACCTGAATTTGATCCAGGCAAGAGGGAGGCATGGATGGAGAGCCTGACGTCATCTCTCACAACCTCCTCCCACTGCCACCCTCGCATCCATCTGGGCCCCAACTCATCCCATCACAACTCACTTCTCTGGAGCTTGTTAGTGGCAAGCGCTATTCTATGTCCCTAACAGGCGCCAGATTCTTTATACCTCACAACCACATGAGTTTGAGACCCGCCTTGTGGCCCATTTCACCGATGAGGAATACTCAGTTATCTGCCCTTCCCACCTCTAAGAGCCAGAAAGTGGGCATCCCAGCCTGGGTGCCCAGTTAGGTAATAGTCTGCAGGAAGGTGTCTGCACCCACTTGCTGTGTGACTCCAGAGTCATCCCTACCCCATCCAGGAAAGGGGGAAAGGGAGCTAAAGAATGGTGACCTTTTAGGAGTTGTCACCTGAGGGAAATTATATGCAAATATTATGGGCCAGGGCAGCCTGTGGTTTCTGTCTACTGGGGGCTCCCCTGAGAGCAGAGGGCAGAAACTTCTGACTGTCTTCCATCCCCTGATGTGGTCTGCTGCCTGAGGCTGGTTGGGGTTCCCTCACTGAGGCTGCTTTCCCATCCATGTAGTGGGAAGAGGGCTGTAGAGATCACTATGACGACCACTTGTATTCAGCAAATATTTATCAAGCTCTTATGTGCCAGGCATAAGTGATCTTATGGAGACAAAGCAGACCGAAGAACTAATCTCAGCGCTTAGGACCTGGTGGGGAGGCCTGCCCTATGGGGAATGGAAGAGGGGGTAGAGGAGGAGTCAGGCTTGGGGAGGCTCTTCTCAGCTTTGAAGTCCCCCCTCGCCTTCCTCATTTCTTCCAGGGAGGCCTCTCAGAGATACCCCACCCTCTTCTTTTCTTAATGCCTGCAACAGCTCTGCTGTCTCTGCTGCCTCCTGGCTCCCAGTCACTCAGCACATGTGATCCCAGGCAGAGGCTCTGACCCTTGCCCTGTTACAGTCTACCTCCAAGTCTGATGGTAGTCAAAGCAGCTAGGGAGGCACAGCATCCACAGTACAGAGAGAGAAGCCTGGCTTGCCCCAGACCTGTGGCAACTTGGCAGCAGAGGTGGCTTCCTGACCAGTGTCTAGGGCATTTCAGCCAGCCCTACCACCTTGACAGCATTCACAGTCAAGGATGGAGAGCCAAAGGTAGAATGAGCATGGCACCATGGAACCTGTGTTCTCTGAGTTGCAGTCAGGATAGAGGAAGTCACCAACAGACCGGAAGGGCAGGGGTTCAGGAGTCCACTTACTTCCTTTTCTGAGAAGATGCAGAGTGAAGCCCAGGAGAGATCATTGGGTGGAGGTGGTGCCAGAGTGTGAGCTGTGGCAGAGATGGTTGTCCTGGTCTGAGAGTAAGTCAGGATTCAGTCAGGGCCAGTGTGTAGCTAAGTGTCATGGCTGAGGTGAGGGGCAGGCCTGAGGCAAGGGGATGACTTGAGGTTCAAGACAGGGCTGCTGCTAGGTTGGGTTTTTTTTTTGTTTGTTTGTTTTGTTTTGTTTTGTTTTAGCTGATTGGAGACACAGACTGCAGTAGATGCAAGGTGTGTGTAAAGCCAGACCCAGGAGCACCTCAGCCCCAGCAGAGCAGCCATCAGGGACATTTTGTCACCATTGACATGCTGGAAGAAAAAAAAAAAAAAAAAAAGGAAGAAAACAGAAGCTGCACCTGTGTCCTTTTGCCCTAGTGTCCCCTCCTCTGGGCTGGAAGCTCTGCTGGGGCAAGGAGGCAAATGATCAGATTTGCCTTGGGGTCTTGAAGATAGTGAGAGGGAGTGACAGAGGCCTGAGACTTCAGGAAATGCTCTTGAACACAGTGAGAGGGACTAGAGTGACATCCAGGGGATCTAGGACATCCAGGGGGCATTCCTGGAGGAGGTGTCTGGGTCTGCAGCTCCAAAGCTCAGCCTGCTGTAATGCTCTGCCAGCAAGTTTGCCATACTGGGCTGCCTGTATGACTGGGGCTGAACTGACCTGGGACTCTGTGCCTTTGTGTGTCTCGGCCTCCAGGCCTGCCACATCTGCGTGTCTTGACTGCAGAATTGGTTTTGTTGCACTTCTTTATGAAGCCATCATGGCAGAAGTGACTGTATCTGTTTTACAGGCAGGGGCACTGGGGGCTAAAGGCTGGCATGCAGCTGAGCCAGGTGAGCTACTAGGAAGCCCTGGATTTATGTGCTAGCAAGCCAGGCCAAGGGGACAACTGGGAGGTAGATCTCTAACACTGTGGTTTTAGTGGGACCAATCCACTTTCTTGGCCAGGAGTGACACTTTCTCCTCTCTCAGGTTCCCAGCAAGGTTATACAGAGGATCCACTGACTGAAGATGGAGAGTGGCCCCGCTGTCTGCTGCCAGGACCCTCGGGCAGAACTGGTAGATCGGGTGGCAGCCATCAATGTGGCACACTTAGAAGAGGCTGATGAGGGCCCAGAGCCTTCCAGGAATGGTGTAGACCCTCCTCTCCGGGCCAGAGCTGCCTCTGTGATCCCCGGCAGTGCTTCAAGACCCATGCCAGTGCGGCCCAGCCTCTCAGCTAGGAAGTTCTCCCTGCAGGAACGGCCAGCCGGAAGCTGTCTAGAGGCCCAGGCTGGGCCTTACTCTACCGGACCTGCCACTCACATCTCTCCTCGGGCCTGGCGGAGACCCACCATTGAGTCCCACCATGTGGCCATCTCAGACACGGAGGTTGGTGAGATGGAGTTAGGTAGGAGTTGTTCATGGGCCTGCCAGGAAAGCCTGGGTTTTTTTTCCCTACCATTGGTCCCATATACTTAGCTTTCTTTGGTTTGCATACTTTGAGAGCTGAGAAGCTCACTACCCAGCAGCAGGGCTTCTTCCTTTCAGGGAAGGCCATCCAAAGCAATAGCTACCTCCTGATTTCTTCCCATCATCAGCTCAGGCATAGGACCCTCTTTTGCTCCTAAGCAGCCTTCTCAGAGCTTTGGAAATAGATTGTGTACATCCCTACCCTGCATCATCCCAAGCTTGAGCCAGGAGCCATAATCCTGCCTCCGAGAGTGCTCTTACTTAAAAGCTGCAGTTTCTGGTCTTTCATGAGCTTGGCTTTGAATGTGAACTTGGGTAGTTGATGGGAGCATAGCATAGCTAGGGCTTCACCCTTCACATTTTCACATATTACCCTAGGCTTCTTGTCTTTCATGGTGTTGATGCTACCCTCCAATCTTCCCTGATCCAAACTTGAAAGGCTGGTGAGAGACTGGGCCCTGAACAGTCTCCCAAGATGGGAGCACTGTTGTATCTGAATGAGCTGTCCTTGATGCTCCCCTTCCCCCTAGGACTGTGTGCAACTGAACCAGTACAAGCTGCAGAGTGAGATTGGCAAGGTAGGACCTGGGTAGGATGGGGGTGGGGCTGAAGATCCATCTCTGAGCATCTTTCTTTCCCTCTGGTGGAACTGGGGAACAGAGCTAAGAACACCCAGCCTGACTGGGAGATCACCAGAGGAGGGTGGAAATAACTTCTGACTCCCAGGGCTCTTGATGGAGATTAGGGGAAATAAGAGGGTACATTGAGTTGTGAGGCAGGGGAAGTTCCCAGGGTATAGGGGTCCCTGCCTCATCTCTCAGAAATGTGAGCCCAAGAACCATATGGTAGGAGATAGGGTGGGATTGGGGTGCAAGGGCTGGGACCAGAGCTGTCAGGCCTGCCATTTCCTGAGCTAGACCCAGAGAGAAGCTGCCTGTGTTTTGTGGGACTGACCAGTGGCTGTCTGCAGGGTGCCTACGGTGTGGTGAGGCTGGCCTACAACGAAAGTGAAGATAGACACTATGTGAGTCTGGGGCTGGGAAAGGGTGCTGCCCACGTAGGCCCTGGAATCCTGGGTAGTAGGCAGATGTGCTGGGGAAAGGGGCTAGTACTTCCTCTTATTGGGGAGGTTCCTATTCCTGGGGTGTGCTAAGGGAATGAGCTTCCTGTTTCTTGGGGGTATGCAAGCAGAGGCCAGCTTCCTCTGAAGGGAGAACAGGGGGAAGGCCCAGACTCAGCTACGGCATAGCAGACACATACCTGGCCACATGTTTATTGCCAGTGGCATCTGCCAGTGTGCCCCTCTGTCCCCATATAACCAGCTTTTCCTAGCCCCTGGAGGCTGCACACGTGATATTTCTGTTCCTTTGTCCATAGGCGATGAAAGTCCTTTCCAAAAAGAAGTTACTGAAGCAGTATGGCTTTCCTCGTACGTATACCTTGTCCCTGGGAGCTGCTAAGCTGGGGGCAGAGGAGGAGGGAATGGTGGGTGTGGAGGGTAGGGAACAGGAGCAGTGGCCTGGGGATGGACTAGCCTTGGTGGGCTGGAATGAGATCTCAGACTTGTAGGGGCTTTCTCCTGGATCAATGCCTTCACTTACGTTTTGGTCACAGGCCGTCCTCCCCCTAGAGGGTCTCAAGCCACCCAGGGAGGGCCAGCCAAACAGCTGCTGCCGCTGGAGCGTGTGTACCAGGAGATTGCCATCTTAAAAAAGCTGGACCATGTGAATGTAGTCAAATTGATCGAGGTAGGAGGGATGGCAGGGCTACTGGAGCTTTGTGGGTGGGTGGGGCAGGTGTTCAGCCTATTAGGGCCTAGGGAGCAGGAATGGGTGAGTCCCTGGGGACAGACCAGTTCAGATACTCTGATACAGACCCACAGATACTCTGTGGGTATCAGAGGCAGTTCAGACTGGTCTGTGGTGTTCTTGCTGAGGGTGAGGGGCAGTTCTGGAGGTAACTGTGAATATCTTCTCCATCATGAGGGAGGAAGGACCCAGTGTTATATGGAAGGCAGTGGGGCGGGTAGCATCAGTGACACCAAGGCCCCTCTGTTGGTACCTGCTGTGAGTCCAGGGTGACTGCGGGGCACAGTAGGGATCTTGGGTCAGGAAAGGACAGGAGGCCTGAGTTCCCCAACCCCATTCCTCCTCAAGTCCTGTGCCTGTGTCTACTCCTTCTGACCAGGTCCTGGATGCTCCTGCCGAGGACAATCTCTATTTGGGTGAGTGACCCCGCTCATTCTCACAGCAGCTCACCGAGGGCTGGTCCCAGTGAGGGCTCCCCATGGACACACAGGATATCCAGGTGGCCATGCCCATGCATGGACTCTCAAGCTTTGGATTCCCTTGTGCAGCACTGCAGCCTTAAATCAATCAGATTCAGTGACTATCCTGGACCCCCACCCTGCCTTGACCCAGTCCCAATCAGTGTGGTTCTGCACTCAGTAGGTACAAGAAGCTGGCTGAGATGTGAGCTTGGGGACCCTGCCTCAGTTTCTCACTTATAAAATCGGATAATAGGGTTGGGAGTGTAACTCAGCAGTAGAACCCTTGCCCAGCATGCTTGGGGAATTGGGCTCAATATCCAGCCTTTTAAAATATGGTATTTATAATAATAAATGAGATAACGGTGGTATGTATCTCATAGGGTTGATGTCAGGAAATGTATACATTTGTAATTATCCTTATTAATATGAATGTAATTATTTAAGTTCCTTATCCTGTATGGTACTTAGGCTTTTTCTGGAGGAGGTTTGAAGAAATGGGATAGGAGGGATGGAGGTGAAGCTCTAGAGATTGCCCAGCATGAGCAAAACCCTGTGCTTCTGTTCATCACAGAAGGGGGCGGGGCTGGAGAGCTGGCTTAGGCATCCAGTCTGCCCCTTCTCAAGCCTCGGGTCCTCCCTGGGAAAGGGGTCCATGCGGACAGTCTCACATAGCACCCGAGGATCAGGTCAGGCAGGCCCACAGCCAGCCCGCTCCCATCTGTCCTGTCCCCCTGCCCTCTCCAGAACAGGGAGGGACCTTGGCACTGGTGGTCCAAAAGCCTTACAACACCTTCCCTTCTCTTCTTTTCTTTCAGTGTTTGACCTCCTGAGAAAGGGGTGAGTTCCCCGACCCAGTCAGGCAGGTCATTTCTAATCCAGGTCTCCCTATCCTCCCCCTTGTCTCCCTGCCCAGGGGCCAGCTAGTGTAAGAGAAAGCAGAGCTGTGCACCTGCCCTCGGGAACTCTTGCCTCAGGGGTAAATAAGAGACCTGGGACCATACTATGAAGGCTGGTGGGGGTTGTGGAGGTTGGGAAGTCAGGCTGGGAGAAGGATAGGCTTTGAGCCAGACCTTGAAAAACTAGGAAGATATTTGGATGGAAGTGGGGGAAGAAATGTTTCTAGGCCAAAGTGTAGATAGGGGATACAATTCATACTTGTATTTACATCACCAAGGATTCTTAGCTTTACTACCAACTCATGATTATGGGAGGGAAAAGCCAAGACTCAGAGAAGGGAAATGGCCTGCCCAAGATCACACAGCAAGTTGTTGCTGAAGCCTGGTGTTCTAACACTGTCTGATTACCCTGTTTGATTTACAGAGCAGCTGACATAGACTAGTGGGCACAGGACCCAAACCCCTCACTGCCAATCCTTGAATGAAGGCTGTGAACTATCCCTTTGCCGGTGCTTTCCTAAAGACTATTTAAAAACAACAACAACAAAAACAACCTGCATTCAAAACAAGAAATAGGGACTAAGCCTGTAGCTGAGCTAGTAGAGTCCTTAGCATGTGCCAAGGCAGAGGGGTCCAGTCTCTAGCACTGCATAAAACCAAGGATGGCAGCTAATACCTACAATCAGGAACAGGAGGCAGGAGGATCAGAAATTCAAGGTCATCTTTAGCTATACAGTGAATGCCAGGCCAGCCTGGGCTATGTGAGACCCTGTTTCAAAACGACAAGTATATGTTTTTTTTGCTTTGTTTTTTTGAGACAGGATCTCACTATTTAGACTTGACTGAACTTTCTGAAGTACTGGGATTACAGGCACTTGCCATAATACTAGGCTGGTTTCTGGTTTTGTTTTGTTTTATTTTGATAGTTACTGTTTTGTTTTGAGACAGGGTTTCACTGTGTAGCTCTGGCTGCTGTGTAAACTAGGCTGGCCTCCAAGTCACAGAGATCCTCCTGCCTCTGCCTCCTGAATGCTGAGGTTAAAGGTGTTGACCACCACACTAGGTTTAAAAAATAAAAGTTTATATTGTTGTCCACATCTGTGACTGATAATCTAGAACAGTATATAGATCTCTTTTTTTACTTGCTATACATTCTGAAACATTCTGTTTCAATAGAAAAAGAAAAGCAGACCCTACCTGATTGATTTCATTCATGACTCTTGGTCCTGGGTCCACCGTTTTTAAAGCCATTGACTTCAATGGCACCTTTGTAATTGTTTGGTTAAACTTAATTCTTGCAAGATCTACAAGCCATTGGAAATAGAGATAAAGCTGTCTTGAAAATATGATTGAAAGGGGATAGATAGGTCACAGCTTTTTGACATATGGGAGAAGCTATTGTTTTGTGTTCTCTGAACCCATGAGCACCAGGTTCACTGGAGGGCCTCTGTTCCCCACTCCCTGCAGCCATCGCTACTCCTGATTCTGCTGAACAGCCCTCCTCCCTCCTTCCCCACAGGCCCGTCATTGAAGTGCCCTGCGACAAGCCCTTCCCGGAGGAGCAAGCTCGCCTCTACCTGCGGGACATCATCCTGGGCCTCGAGTATCGTGAGTGAGACTGCTTGCCCACTGGGACTGGAGCTAGAGGACATAGAGTGGGCTGTGGACACGCTAAACAGCCATTGAGCCCTTCCTGTCACTCAGCGCTGGTGTACCAATCAGCTTTAGTAGAGATGGGGGTGGGGGAGTATGGGCGGGGCCATAACAGACTTCAATAGGCATGCGCTAGGTCCTTCGCCGAGTCTTGCATTCACCACTATGTCTCTGGGTGTTCTGTCTTGGTCTTTTCTGCTGGATTCTATCCAAGCGTCCCTTCTCCGCAGGGCGTCAGGAGATGTGGGATGGAAGAGATTTGTGCCCCGATGCTTAGGGAAGAGTGTGTCCTGGAGTGGTGATGGCAGGGTGGGTTTATCTGTGAGGAGCCCTAAGGCAAGAGCTCAGTGGCGCTCGCTTCTGTGCTAGAAGTACATTCATGTATTCATTTATTCCGTTCGTTCACTTCACTCAGTTATGTACACCTACCCGAGCCACACAGATGATGGTCTAGTAGCTACTAGGGACCTCTGCCCAGGAGCAGCAGGTGGGGAGGCACAGGCGCAGGGGCAGGCTTTCTGAAAGAGGCCACAAAGAGTGGGATTTCACCAGCCAGGTTTGAGGTTTAATGGTGGGAGAGTCAGGCAGAGGCAAGAGAAGAATCCAGCTCTACAGTTTGAAGCCTGGAGCTCAGTCTGGATGGTGCATCCAAGAGACAAGCCTGGTGGCTAATGAACAGTGGTCTGAAACTCTGTTCAGGTCACACGTTGAGGGCTGGAAACGCCTCTAAGGAAGATTTTCTGACTAAATCCTGTCCATATTGTGAGGCCCTGAGGGCTCTGAGCAGGGGAAGGCCTGACAGGATTTGCTTCTTAGAAAGCTCTGTCTGGCAGCTGTGTGGTGGCTGGATAGGGTGTGAGAGGCAGCCAGCTGGCCAGGGGCAGGCTATTTCCACAGCTCAAGTGACAGATGGTGAGGTCAGGATTAGGGCAGTAGCAGTGGGATGTGAAGGAGGTGGGGTGGCCAGCATGGGGTGACTGACTGGTCTAGGAAGAGGAGGTCCCTCAGAAACTTAGGTTCTGGCCTGAGTTGGGGAATGGGGGTGCTGTCCATTTCTAACATCTTAGCTGGACTTTCTGTGAGCAAATTCTCCCTCCCTAGGTGAGGTGTGACCTACAGTGAGTGACATGGGCATCTTTATACTGTTGAGCCTCTCTAGTGTCTTCAGATTGATGCTCTCTTTGTATATGTGGGGAAACTGAGGCACACAGAGGCAAGTGTTTAATAGATGCCAGCAAGGCTCTATAGTATAGGAGGGATGGGTACATTGTATCCTTGGTCTGTTGGTCTAGTCAGCTGCAGGAATGGAGCTTGACTCCACCCCCTTCCTTTTCTGGGTTCCTCTCCTCTGCTGAGGGCCTGCCTGTCATCTCCTAACTCCACTTCAGAAGCGTGTTAATCTAGGTTCTAGGTCACAGCCTCCTCAGGGCCCAGATGATCCTAATGAAGGGCATCTTTGGGGTAAGTGTTAGCACCTTGGGCTGGACAGGGGGAAGAAGAGCCCCAAAGACTTGTCCTTCTGGTCTTGTGGAGGGACAGCTGGAGCTGGTCAGAAAGGCCTGTCTGTCCCTCTGAAGGGGCAGACAGGACTTTTCCTGCCTCCCTTTTCTCTCTCTTCTTCTTTCTCTCTTTCTTTGCCCCCCTCTTTCTCTTCTTTCCCTCTCTCTCCCTTCCCTTTCTAATAAAACTTCTCACTTAAAAAAAAGACACTGAAAAAAAAAAAGACACACATATAGATGATTTACACACACACACACACACACACACACACACACACACACACACGTGCATGCATGCATGCACACTTGAGCACATTTTTCTTTATTTTTAACTTAGGCTTCACTATGGAGCCCCTAGGCTGGCCTCCAACTCCTTATCTGTTGGCAGTCTTTTAAGTACC